CCTCCTGCAGTTCTCTGCCAGTTAAAATGGAGCTCTGTTTTCACTGGCAGAGGGCTGCAGGAGGCGGTTGTGGCTGAAAATAGCCTCCCCGCCCCTGGCTTCATTTTCACTGGCAGAGGGCTAGCAAAACAAACTAAACCAAGCAAAACAAAAGGAGAAATGTTTCACCTTTTGTATTTGAGCATCCAAGAAGAGACAAGAAAGGAGAAAGGGAGAGGAAAGACAAAGAAAAAGAAAAAGATGGGAAGATGGGAAGGGAGCAAGGAAGGAAAAATAAGGAAAGAGGGGAAGGAAGAAGAAAGGAGAATGAAGAAGAAAGGAAAAGGAAGGAAGGAAGGAAGGAAGGAAGGAAGGAAGGAAGGAAGGAAGGAAGGCGATTATAATGAGAGGGAGGGAGGGTCTGAGGGAAGTCCTGCTTTAGCATTTGGCCACCACAGGTGCCCCTGATATGAATGATGTTGAGCTGGCCACGCCCACCATGGCCACACTCACCCCAAGGTCAAACACAACACTGATGCGGCCCTCAATGAAATTGAGTTTGATACCCCTATTCTAGAGCTTCCCTTTTTTTTCCCAACCAGTAGTAGATTTGGTAGATTTACTAGAATGTTTAGGGTCATTATCATGTTGCCAGGTCCATGTTTGAATGAGCTTCACCCTTCTAACAGATAGTCTCACATTATCTTCAAGCATTCTATAGGGCAAAGAAAAACTTGTTGGGGATTCTAAGCTGCATACCCTGATGTAGCAAAGCAAACCTAGATAACATTTTTATCATCACAATGCTCTAGAATTGTTATCAGTCCTTCTGGTGAAATGTTATCTTTGATTTCCATCAAACATGTTTTCTAGTACTGTGGCCAAATAATTATCTTTGCTTTGCCTGTCCAGAGCACGTTGTTCTGGAAGTCCTGGTCTTTGCTTAGGTGCTGAAGAGCAAGTTTAGTTTTGCACTGGTACTCTTTTGGACAGCAACGATTTCCTCCTGACACACCTCCCACATGAATCTAATTTATGCAGCTTCTTTCTAATGGTAGTCTTATGCACATTGGAATGAACTGGTGAAATTTTGGAGACAAGCTAAAATGTGTGAAGTTACAGTAAGGTACAACTGATTCTAGCTTTAGGTATCTGAAGTAGTGATAAATGTAAGGGTGAACTTACTTTGCCAAGATGCAAAATTTGCATTTATGATTTAACAATGAACTACAAAACGTAGTTTTGTAACGTAAAACGTAAATGCGGAAATTTTGAGTAGTTCGGAGAACCGGTAAATACCACCTCTGGCTGGCTCCGCCCCCATCTATTTTCTGCCTCCCAAGTCCCAGCTGATCTGGAGGAAATAGGGATTTTGCAGTAACCTTCTCCTGGAGTGGGGAGGGAATGGAGATTTTACAGTATCCTTCCCCTGCCACACCCACCAAGCCATGGCACCCCCCCAAGCCTCGCCCACAGAACCGGGTAAAATTTTTTGAAATAGTACAATATTCGTTATATTCCATTATTATTGTTGTTGTTGTTGTTGTAATGTTGTAATGAAGATCAAATATCTGTATGTTGAAAAAGTAAACAATTTCAATGTAATATACTTTTTTCACATGACTTTTCGGCATTTATAATTGTATGCCAAATTTTAAATTTATATATAACTTGAAAGTCTTCTTAACCAATTTTGCTTTCTTGCCAACATGTTTACATAGTAGTTGGCACACACTGGTTCTTATGCAATGTCAAGATTTTGACTTATTTAGAATTGTACCAAAATTGATACCCCTTTAAGTAAGTGGCATTGCAATCCTACTCACACTTAGATGAGAGTAGGACAAATTGACCACAATATTTATTTTATTTTATTTTATTTTATTTTATTATTTTATTTTATTTTATTTTATTTTATTTTATTTTATTTTATTATTTTATTTTATTTTATTTTATTTTATTTTATTTTATTTTATTTTATTTCTATACCGCCCTTCTCCTGCGGGACTCAGGGCAGTGTACAGCTGAGATAAAACATAGCATATAAAATTTAAAAACAGTTTAAAAAACAATTAAATAATTTCGGTCCAAAATTTAAAACAACCCAATTAAAACCGAATTCAATTAAAACTGAGAGGATGGGATCAAGCCAGCCTGGCTAGATGGAATAAGTGTGTTTTCAGGGCCCGACTAAAAGTCCGGAGGTCTGATATCGTGCGTATCTCAGGGGGTAGGTCATTCCAGAGGGCAGGTGCTGCCACAGAGAAGGCTCTCCCCCTGAGGGTCACCAGCTGGCACTGTCTGGCCGATGGCACCCTGAGGAGGCCCTCTCTGTGTGAGTGAACCAGTCAGTGGGAGGCTATTGGTGGCAGAAGGCGGTCTCGCAGATACCCCGGCCCTAAGCAATGGAGCGCTTTAAAGGTGGTCACCAACACCTTGAAACGCACCCGGAAGACCACAGGAAGCCAGTGCAGCTCGCGCAGGAGAGGTGTCATATGTGAGCGCCCCGTCGCTCCCATAATCCCCTGCGCAGCCACATTCTGGACTAACTGCAGCCTCCGGGTGCATCCCAAGGGGAGCCCCATGTAGAGAGCATTGCAGTAGTCCAGGCGGGAAGTGATGAGTGCTTGAGTGACCGTGCGTAGGGAGTCCTGATCCAGAAAGGGGCGCAACTGTCATATCAGGCGAACCTGATAAAAAGCCCCCCTGGCCACGGCCGTCATATGCTCTTCTAAAGACAGCCGTGCATCCAGGAGGACGCCAAAGTTGTGAGCCCTCTTCGTGAGGGCCATTGATTCATCCCCAATAGCCAGCGATGGTGCCAGCTGGTTATATCAGGACGCCGGAAGCCACAGCCACTCGGTCTTGGAAGGGTTGAATCGGAGCCTGTTTCTCCCCATCCAGGCCTGCACGGCCTCGGGACATCACTTCAAGGGCGTCGTTGGGGTGGCCTGGGGTGGAGATGTACAGCTGAGTGTCGTCAGCGTACTGATGGAACTCCACCCCAAAACCACGGATGATCTCGCCCAGCGGCTTTACATAAATGTTGAACAGAAGGGGCGAGAAGACCGACCCTTGTGGCACCCCACAAGCAAGGTGCCTCGGGGTCGACCGCTGCCCCCCTGCCAACACAGATTGCGACCGGTCAGAGCGGTAGGAGGAGAACCACCACAGAACGGTGCCCCCCATCCCCAGCCCCTTCAACCGGTGCAACATGATACCATGGTTGATGTATCAAAAGCCGCTGAGAGATCTAACAGAACCCGGGTAGAGGAACAACCCCTATTCCGAGCTCTCCAGAGATCATCCACCAACGTGACCAATGCCGTTTCCGTGCTGTGCCCAGGCCGGAAGCTGGACTGGAGCGGGTCTAGATAGACAGCTTCATCCAGATACCCGGGAAGCTGTCACACCACCACACTCTCAACAACCTTCGCAACGAAGTGAAGGTTGGAGACTGGACGATAGTTAGCCAAAACAGCCAGATCCAGAGTGGGCTTCTTGAGGAGGGGCCTCACCACTGCTTCTTTCAAAATGGCTGGCAGGACCCCCTCACTCAGAGAAGTGTTAACAATCCTCTGGAGCCAGCCTCGTGTAACCTCCCGGGAAGCCAGTACCAACCAGGAGGGAGACGGGTCCAATAAACATGTGGTCATGTTCAGCCGTCCCAGGATCCTGTCCACGTCCTCGGGAGCCACAGGATCAAACTCCTCCCAGATAACACTCTCAAGATCTGCCTCAGTCATCCCGTCCAGACTTACCCAGTCAGAGGCCAGGCCTTCCCGAATCTGAGTGATCTTGTCATACAGATACTGCACAAAATCCTCAGCTCGACCCTGCAAGGGATCATCCCGCGCTTCCAGATGGAGGAGGGAGCGGGTCACCCTAAATAGGGCGGCTGGGCGATTATCTGATGATGCAATAAGAGCAGCAAAATAGCTAGATTTCTCCACTTTTATCGCCACTAGGTAGGTCTTAATATGAGACCTCACCAGTGTTCGGTCAGATTCGGAGCGCCTGGTCCTCCAACTACTCTCCAGGCGTCTTTTCTGGTGCTTCATCTCTCTCAGCTCCTCAGAGAACCAAGGAGCTAGGTGAGTTCGGTGCCGGGTCAGAGGCCGCAAAGGCACGACGCGGTCCAAAGCCCCAGCGGCCCCACTATCCCAGGCAGCCACCAGGTCTTCAGCCGAGTCATGAGCCAGAGTCTCAGGAAATGGCCCAAGCTCCATCTGGAACCTATTAGAATCCATCAGGCGCCTGGGGTGGAACCACCTGGTTGGTCCCGCCTCCCTGCAGAGGGGTGCAGCGGTTAGAAAGTCCAGTCGAAGGAGCGAGTGGTCAGACCATGACAAGGGTTCGATGACTATATCCCCTGTATCAAGGCCACTCGACCACTGACCAGAGACAAAAACTAAGTCCAGAGTGTGTCCACCCGTGTGAGTAGGGTCATGAATTAACTGAGTAAGGTCCATGGCCGTCATGGAAGCCATGAACTCTCGAGTCACCTCAGACGTTTCACTGATAGATGGCAGGTTGAAATCCCCCATGACTAAAAGTCTGGGGGTATCAACCGCCACCTCGGCTATGACGTTGAGCAGCTCGGGCAGGGCCGTTGCCACATGGCACGGAGCCAGGTACGTGATCAACAAGCCCATCTGTACTCCACGGCCCCACTTCACAAAAAGGGACTCACATCCAGCTATCTGTGGAACAGTGGTCTCCCTCGGATCAAGACCTTCCTTTATAATAACCACCACCCCCCTCGCCCCTGCCCTGAGCTCTTGGCTGATGGGATATTAACATGGTAGGAACTTACCTCCAAGAGGTTCAATCTTATATTTTAGAAACTTTCAAGCAGTATTTCCATCAACTCTTATTTCTCTGTCCATTTAAAAAGCTGGAGCTTGAAGAATACATGCTAGCTGTTGCATCTTATTAAAAATATTGGATTAGACAATTCAAAGCACTATCTTGGACATGCAGTGGATTTGTAGCATTTACACAGGAAACTACTACTACTACTTATAATAATTTTTATTTTAAATTTACTGCAATGCATTTTGTACACTTTAGTTAACTTATAAGGAGCTATCAAATGTAAATGTGAAAGTGATGCAGAAGGGATAATAGATTAAGACAGTCTCGTTGATGCAAGAGAACTGTAATTTTCTGAGATATCAACCATTTAATAAATAACAAAGAGAAAAAAGAAGCAGGAATTGATTTGTGTTTCACTGAAGCTCAAGAATTAACTCTGTGGTTTTCCAAACTAGAACATTCCATTATTTCCATCCATGGAGGAGCTGCTTAAGAAAACCATCAATGCATTTTGTACTGAGATTGCTGCTGTATTACTCTAAAGAAAAAAAGAAAAGAAAGAAAAACTAAAAATCACAAAAGAAGTTTACATAATAGTTTTACAATGAAAATGACATCTTAAAATTTCCCATGGATATTGGTTGTATGACCATTTAAAATTTGAGCATTTCCCCTTCTCAATTACAATTCAATGCTATTAACAAAATTAGAAAAAAATGTCAGGAAATTCTTATGAAATAACTAGAGCTAAGACCAGATAGTATTCAACTTCTGAATTTCAGAAGTGGTATTTGCTCTTCCATGCTGGTTAGTCCCTATTATACATCTTTGCCAGTGGTTTTCAAACATTTGGGCCTCAGGACCCCTTTACATTCTTAAAAATGATTAAGGATCCTAAAGAGCTTTGAAATAAAAACAGAATTGTTAAACTATTTCTTTGTTCCACTTTGCATACTCCTTAAAGAATATTTTGGCTTTGTGCCTAAAACACAACTAGAGCTTATGGTTTCCCAGTTTGGCATGCAATGATGCATTAACTGGTACATTTAGTTGACTTTATCATCTGTATAATAAGATGACCAAAATAAGATGACAGCCTTTCCACAATAGGCATGTAATCTGGGAAAAATTAAGCTGCCAGAATTTTTGCTTTTCCTGAAATTAATCAAGATACAATAATTCTGCCAGGGTAAGTGATGTCACATGGTTGGAATGCTAAAACTTTAATCACCTGGATTAAACATTAATGTTTAAAACATTAGGTTTTAAAAATCTAGCTAGCTAGGAGTTATAACATCAATGCAAAAATCAAACATTCCACAGAAGTCTAGCTGAGAGGAAAGAAGGTATTTATTAAGCATTTCAGATACGTGTGTTTTTCCTGTCTTACTCCATTCTGGTAGATTTTTGCTTGCTGCCCTAAACTGCTGTTAGTCTGATTGCTGAGGAGGAAAGAAAAAACAAATATCTTTATTTTGACCATCAGGAGATATGTCTAATGATCAGGCCATCTTGTATTGGCCAAAACCATGACTTTTGGAGAAAGCAGAGCATTTGAGCATTTGTCAAATATGTAATAACCAGATGGCCCTCATCCTAAATCTACTGGTAGTTAGGATTCTAGTTTTTCATACAATCTACATGCTGTTATAATCTACATTTAAATAAAGCATATAAAGACCAACTCATTCATAAGTATGTCATTGATTGGCATTTGTATTGCTTAGTTGTGGTACTGGGTTGATGAGCTTGATGGTTGAGGCAGATAATTTAAGATTAGTTAACTAAATAATCTTCCCTATACATTGTATACATTGGTACATACAGACCACCCCAACGATGCCCTTGATGTGATGTCCCGCTGCCTGGAGGCCGTGTGGGTCTGGATGGGGAGGAACAGGCTCAGACTCAACCCCTCCAAGACCGAGTGGCTGTGGCTTCCGGCGCCCCGATATAGTCAGCAGGTGCCATCGCTGACTATTGGGGGTGAATCTTTGCCCCCCACAGAGAGGGCTCGCAATCTGGGTGTCCTCCTGGATGCGCGGCTGTCTTTAGAAGAGCATATGACGGCCGTGGCCAGGGGGGCCTTTTATCAGGTTCGCCTGATTCGCCAGTTGCAGCCCTTTCTGGATCGGGACGCCCTGCGCACGGTCACTCATGCCCTTGTTACTTCCCGGTTGGACTATTGTAATGCTCTCTACATGGGGCTCCCCTTGAAGAGCACTCGGAGGCTCCAACTGGTCCAGAATGCGGCCGCGCGGGTGGTTATGGGCGCAACCCGTTATGCCCATGTGACACCCCTCCTGCGCGAGCTGCACTGGCTCCCGGTGGTCTTCCGGGTGCGATTCAAGGTGTTGGTTACCACCTTTAAAGCGCTCCATGGCATAGGACCCGGGTACCTCCGAGACTGTCTTCTGCCACCAATAGCCTCCCACCGACCAGTTCGTTCCCACAGAGAGGGTCTCCTCAGGGTGCCATCAGCCAAGTTATGTCGGCTGGCGACGCCCAGGGGGAGGGCCTTCTCTGTGGGAGCCCCAGCCCTGTGGAACGAACTGCCCCCGGAAATTCGTAAGATCTCCGACCTCTGGGTGTTTCACTGCGCATTGAAGACCCTGTTGTTCCGCCAGGCCGGACTATCAACACAATAGTTTTAAATTGGGGTATTTAAATTTATTGGGGTTTTAAATTTGAGCCACTTATTTAATTATTTTAAATTTTATATCATTGTTTTGTCTGTGTTTTTAAATAGGCTGTACACCGCCCTGAGTCCTTTGGGAGAAGGGCGGTATAGAAATAAAATTATTATTATTATTATTATTATTATTATTATTATTATTATTATTATTTATTTATTATTATATATTATTATTATTATTATTATAAACAGACCTTCACAGGAGGTAGGAATTTATAGTTTCTCTTAATGTGCCATGAAATATATTTGCAAATCAACAATGTTGAAAGCAAGAAGGATTAATTATAGGAGTGACATTCAGGTCAGTTTATACTTTTAGGAAAATATATATCATGTTAGAAAGCAATGCCTGAAACCGCCCCCCAAAAGATTCACTTTTCCTGCTGCTGGAAATTAATAAGAGACTTGCTGGTTTATATATTAAAATAACTATATAGTGGCATTCCCATGTTGAATTCCTCATACTCATTAATATGTAATTTGGTACAAATTACTGTGTGAATTGGAAGCATTGAGCAGAATTTATGTGGGTACTGAGTATAACATTATGTATATGTATAAAAATATTATATATATATGTGTGTGTGTGTGTGTGTGTGTGTGTGTGTGTGTGTGTGTGTGTTTTCTTCTTCTAGCCAAGGTTTTCCCTACGTAACCAAGGTTTTTTGTAGCTCCAGCTCAGTACTGAGCTGGAGCTACAAAAAAACCTTGGCTACGTAGGGAAAACCTGGCTAGAAGAAAAACACATATAAACCCTATGAAGAAGTAAGAAAATTGATATATATATATATATTACTCATTGTTAATTGTTCTGGGAGACACAATGTGTATCAAAAATGATGAGTACCAAACAAATTTTTCCATAGGGAATAATGTAGTGAGTCACAAGGTAACTGATACTGACAAGTACTACTTTGTGTATTGAGTACCAAACAAACCATGAGTACCAGGTCAAAATTTTCACATCAAAATGCATTGAATACCAAATTCAATGAGTTTCAAAGCAATTGAATGCCAAGATACCACTGTAATATAGTTATTGAATAAATGTTATATAATTGCAAAGTAAGAAATTATTTTAAAAGATTCTAAATCTCATGTAAACATAATATTATAGATCAGTTAAAAAAGATTATAGTTAAATTAACTTACGAAGCATTTTTCTTTACTCAGTGCCTGTTGTTGGTTGCAAGAGAGATACCATGGTTGTTTGTATAATTTTATCCTCATATGATTCTTTACTTGGAAGTATATTGGAAAAATCTCCTGGTTCTAGGTTGAATTCCAGGCTAGGTTCCCCAGACGGTGCGGTATTTGACTCCTTGGCTGTTACATCACTTGCCTCTACTGTGGATCTTTCGCTTGGTTCTGTGCTTGGTTCAACAGGTATTTCTCCTCCTTCACTGGATTCTCCACTTGAATCCCCACTTAGATCTTCCGTTGGTTGCATGCTGGGTTGCTCACTTGGTTCTAAGTTTGGTTCCTCACTTGATTGAGTGTTGCTTAATTTTGTGTTTGAATCAACTGTTGGCACCTCTCCTGGTTCAATGCTTGGTTTCTCAGTCATTGGTGCAACAGATCCTTCTGGAATATTAAAAATTGTGAATACACTATGCAAAGTGATCATTCTGTTACTAATATCAAACACTTGGTTGCAGACATGCAACATATTAAGGTGATCATGTTGGAGTGGAATGGTCTGGTTTTTGCTTCTTTCAGTAGAAACCCTGTGACCAACCAGTGTATTTTTAATTTATGGTTACAGAGCCTCTGTTTTAGACTTTTCAGTCCTGAGAAAATAGATCATAATTTTCAAATTATTACTAGCTAAGAATACCTGTGGATTCCTCTGTTTTTATCAGGAAAATGTAACCATTTTTACTGTTCATTGAATGATTGTTAGCAAAAAAAATTAGACATTCTTGCCTAAGAAATAAATTGAGTCATGTAGGATGGTATTCAATTTGCAAGATTTCTGTAACCTAAATGTCTTTTCTATTTCAATAAATGTAATTAAACACAAATTTGTAAGATTCAGTTTTCTCTTGTAAGAATGTTGACCACCAATAAATGCTAGCTAGCCCAATCTTTCTCCATCCATTGAATTACATTCACCTTTTGAACCAAAACTGTCACTAAAAAGGTTTTAGTGACAGTTTAAGTTATAAAGTTGCTTAAGCAGGAAAAAAAATCTCAATGAAGGATATCAAGGAATCACACTAGCCTTAAACTGTAAACAAGAGACTCTGGCAGTTCACAATTTACTTTTTACCTGTTTGTGTCAGAGTAATCTTAAAGTATTCAAAGCATAATCTTTTTAACCCAATATTAACAATCTGTAAAAATCATAGTTAATAATTCCAATAATCTCCCAAATTGAGGGTTATAATACATTGGCTTACCTTGTACTATTAGTAAAAAAAGGATTGCTGAGAAGATTGACTTTTTTCTCAACATAACTTCTTGTTGCTTATGAAATAAAAGCAATACAGAAGCAGACTAAAAAGCCTGTGGAAACAGAATTTTGACTCTATTTATTTAGGAAAATCCTTGATCTCAACTTTCTCAAAAACCTAATATCTGACCTCAAAGGTTACAAGAAACCCATCCCCAATCTCTTAAATTAAAGGACTCTCAATGGGATCAGGAACTAAGTGTTGTTGGTAAAATTCCATTTCATTATCTCAGACTAAGATAACATTTACAACACTGTGCTTGAAGGAAAATTACAAGTGTTTGAATGGTGAGAAAGGATGAGTCATGGAAAAGATTTAGTGTCAAGCAATGCTCACAAGGATTTGCTTCTGGCAAATTTCTCAAGACAACTACCCTTTGCTCTCCTGCTGAATGTATTCAGTACTGCTATTCTGACAACTATCCAACTGAAAGTGCCTCTGGGCACTAGGTAGGAGGTGAAGAGTAGACTAGAGTCTGCAGTACCTTTTGCTATTGTATCATAAGAGGATAATGATGGTATCGAAACTATAAACCAAATTCAGGTTTGAGATGGAGACTCTGTTCTAATGTGCACCCATTCTTAGCATTTTAAATGATTCAGGATGCCCATATTCACATTTATTTGTCATTCTTTCTTAAAGACCCAAGGGAGACCAGTGAAATTGGGACTGGGCCTTAATGTTCTCTAATTTTGTCTTTGAGATCAAAGGAGAGGAAATTTCTTCTGAAAAAAAAAATGCTTAGTAACATATATTCTTTCAATTTTGTTCAGTGCTCACTGTTTCCTTAATGGCTTTTTCTCCAAACTCATCTCCACTTGCTTTCTTATTCTTCCTTCTTTATCTTTATCTTTATTCAAATTTTTATACTGCCCTTCTCCTTTCGGACTCAGGGCGGTGAACAGCCAAAAAATAAAACATTTTATATACAAAAGTTAAAATAAATTTAAAATAATTAAATAAATTTGGCCCATTAATTTAAAACATTCCAATTAAAACCATATCAAAATTATTTAAAACCAATCATAAAATCAGGACAGCCCGGCTAACTGAAAAAAATAGGTTTTGAGAGCCCGACGAAAAGTCCGGAGGTCTGGGATCACTCGTATCTCTGGGGATAGATTGTTCCAGAGGGTGGGTGCTACCACAGAGAAGGCCTTGGGGGTCACCAGCCGACATTGCCTGGCCGACGGCACCCTGAGGAGGCCCTCTCTGTGGGAGCGAACTGGCTGGTGGGAGGCAATTGGTGGCAGGAGGCGGTCCCGTAGATACCCCGGCCCTAAGCCATGTAGCGCTTTAAAGGTGATCACCAACACCTTGAAGTGCACCTGGAAGTCCACCGGGAGCCAATGTAGCTCGCGCAGGAGAGGAGTCACATGGGAGCGCCCCGTCGCTCCCATAATCCCCTGCGCGGCCGCATTCTGCACCAGTTGGAGCCTCCGGGTGCCCCATGTAGAGAGCGTTACAATAGTCCAGACGAGAGGTGACGAATGCCTGAGTGACCGTGCATAGGGAGTCCCAATCCAGAAAGGGGCGCAACTGGCGTATCAGGCGGACCTGATAGAAGGCCCCCCTGGCCACGGCTGTTGTATGCCCTTCTAAAGACAGCCGTGCATCCAGGAGGACACCCAAGTTGCGAGCCCTTTCTGTGGGGGCCAATGATTCACCCCCAATAACCAGCGATGGCACCAGCTGGTTATACCGGGACGCCGGCAGCCACAGCCACTCGGTCTTGGAAGGGTTGAGTCGGAGCCTGTTTCTCCCCATCCAGACCCGCACGGCTTCCAAACACTGGGACATCACTTCCAAGGCATCGTTGGGATTGTCTGGGGTGGAGATGTACAGCTGAGTATCATCAGCGTACTGATGGAACTCCACCCCAAAACCACGGATTATCTCGCCCAGCGGCTTCACATAAATGTTGAACAGGAGGGGCAAGAGGATCGACCCTTGTGGCACCTCACAAACAAGGCGCCTCGGGGTCGACCGCTGCCCCCCTGTCAACACAGATTGCGACCAGTCGGAGAGATAGGAGGAGAACCACCGCAAAATGGTGCCCCCCACTCCCAGTCCCTCCAGCCGGCGCAACATGATACCATGGTCGATGGTATCAAAAGCCGCTGAGAGATTTAACAGGACCAGGATAGAGGAATAACCCCTACCCCGAGCCCTCCAGAGATCATCCACCAATGCGACCAATGCCGTTTCCGTGCTGTACCCAGGCCTGAAACCGGACTGGAGCGGATCCAAATAGACAGCTTCATCCAGGTACTGGGGAAGCTGTCGCGCCACCACACTTTCAACAACCTTCGCAATAAAACGAAGGTTGGAGATTGGACGATAGTTAGCCAAAACAGCAGGATCCAGGGAGGGCTTCTTGAGGAGGGGCCTCACAACCGCCTCTTTCAAAGCGGCCAACAGGACACCCTCACTCAAAGAAGCTAATAATCCCCTGGAGCCAGCCTCGTGTAACCTTCCGGGAAGCCAGCACCAACCAGGAGGGACACAGGTCCAATAAACATGTGGTTGCGTTTAGCCGTCCCAAGATCCTGTCAGCATCAGCATGTGTTTGCATGCACACACACACAGACATGTAAGTATATTAGACATTCCTTTCTTCCTGAAGAAGCACTGATCAGCTTGAAAAGGTCAGTCAGTGGCAACTCTTTCTGATTCAGGTGTGCTAAAGATTCTTGCCCTTATTATCTATCAGTTAAGCTATAATAATTTGCTTTATGTGCAAATGTCCTTGAAGATGTCTCAAAATGCAATTGGTACAAAAAGGCTGTTCATTTTTTGATCAGCATCACCAGTTCTGGAGAAACAATACCTGTATTATTGGAGCTGTACTTCCCTTTCTTGTCTAGTGTGGTATAAAGTATAAAATAGTATAGAAATAGTATAGTGTGATATAAATAGTATTTCCTCTTGAGGAAAAGAGATGAGATCCATTACCACAATGAAGGGAAAATATACATAAAGTCCAAAATAAGCAGGAAATTTGTGGGAGCAGCACAAAAAAACTAAGGCCCTATTCACATGAGTATAGGAAGGGGAGGAGATGCAGCACTATCAGACTTGCAAGATTCTATTATTTTAGCTATACTTGGTAAAATTAGTCTTGGAGTTGATTCCTGTTCTCATTTGCCTTGTTAAGGCTAATGCAATTGTCAACCCTGCAAGAGAATGGTAGCTGAGGATCATTTAAAACCATTGCTAGGCCTAACTGGTCAGTTTGCATCCATGGAGTCTTTGGTGCTCTTTTAGCTTCATTTGTTTGCTTCATTATCCAAGTAGGTAATATCGTCAGTGCTTGAGAGTCTAGGATTTGTTCCCTGTTAATGTACAGTGACATGGCAACAGGACAATCATTATTAACTAAAATTGTATTAAAATTAAATTAATTGAAATCATTATTGTAATAAATTGTTTTGTCAGATATTTTAGATTTATATATTTTAAACAACCTAGCAAGGAGCAGGGATATGGAAATGTTCGTAAAATTAATATATTTTCTTCCTAATATTTCAATCTGGTTTCTTACCTGCTTTTCTAATACAGTTTTTAGTATGATAGGAAAAGAATGAACTGGGTCACTATCCTTTGTCGACCTACAGTAAGGGCAGTACTAGTCATTATGTTATGGTTTGACAATGTTATGTTATATTTTGCCCCCAAATCTAAGCCCAATTTCTATCTAAACACGTTCAGGGCACTCTGTCTTCATATTTTTTCCTAAGCAAGCTCATGCTGTTACATTTACCCTATTCTATGCTACTTTGCATGCTAATGAACTGGTGCTGTCCTTACCCTTTCAACTAGGAGGGACATGCAGAGAACTGACATATAGTTAGATTTCCTTTTCTCTTATCTCACAATCTTCATTCTTTTCTTTTCTTTTCTTTTCTTTTCTTTTCTTTTCTTTTCTTTTCTTTTCTTTTCTTTTCTTTTCTTTTCTTTTTTCTTTCTTTTTCTTTTCTTTCTTCCTTCCTTCCTTTAGTCCAGTGTTTCTCAACCTTAGTAGCTTAAAGATGGGTGGACTTCAACTTCCAGAATCCCCCAGCCAGCAGTGCTACCAAGATTGAGAAACACTGCTTTAGTCTTTAGTTGTTCTCCTCAATGAGTTGCATCTTCCGCAACCTTCCTGGCTTTAAAGAATATAACCCAAGCTCTTCCTGGACTAGCATCTTCCAGTTATTTCTATAAGAATATAAAGTTATGTTTAGCCACAGTTATAACTGAGTCACATATTACATTTTTAATACAGGAATGCTCATTGTGAACCTAACAACAAAACTGTCATACCAGTAAAACTGGTGGATTGGATTTTTCCACTGATGTTTTTGGCAGGAAAATTTCCCTAATAGGATAGGCTGCAGAAATCTGGACAATCACTAAATGGCAGCAAAGCACAATAAAACTTATAATTGCTAATTCATTGCAGACAAAATATGACAGCTCTATGAATAGATATTTCACTTAATAACTTTAAATAAATACCCAAGATTATTTTCCTTCAAAATGCTTTAAAATATATTGTAGTGTTCTGTATTTAATTGTCTGTGGGTTTAGTTGTTTATTTTATGTTGTATGATAATTTCCACCTCCTACATCTAGTAAAAATGTTGTTTAATTGCTGATATAGCAGCATTTTTGGATCCCCTGTGTATCCTATTTTTCTGGTTTACAAAATAATGAGCCTCTATTATCTTGTGGGTCAGCTTGGAATGTTTAATTCTGGAAAGCACTGATTGTGTTTATTTAATATTAATACATGAAAGCATATTGATTGCTCCTTTCTGTTCAGAAACACACGATGTATAATTGTACCTATAGAAATATAGTTTTATACTTGCTGCTCATGATATCACTGTAAAATTTAGGGTTAGGAGCAGGGGTGAAATCTAGTAGGTTCTGACAGATTCTGAAGAACCAGTAGCGGAAATTTTGGAGAACTGGCAAATACCACCTCTGGCTGGCCCCAGAGTGGGGTGGGAATGGAGATTTTTGCAATATCCTCCCCCCAGGAGTGGGATGGGAATGGAGATTTTGCAATATCCTTCCCCTGCCACGCCCACCAAGCCACGCCCATAGAACTGGTATTAAAAAATTTGGATTTCACCACTGGCTAGGAGTCTGTTTTCCCTCCCCAAATTAATATATTTGTTTCAAACCACACCAGTTAGCATTGACAAAAAAATTTTTTCGGATCTAAACATGATAGTAAGGAAATTCATT